CAATAGAGGTCGTTTTAATATTCAACAGTCTAGTCTTTGATAATACACATACACGCGCTCAGCACACAAATAAAAAGTCATATTTTTGGCTCAGTATAACAATGTCAGTACATTTCTTTCATGAAAAAGAATTGGAATGCGATGAAAGCTTATTAATAAAAATACAAATTCATAGATAATTTAAGTTGGTAAGGAGTGATGCAGCTCACATGAAACGAGATCATACGGCCAATTAAGAAAGAAAGAAAGAAAGAAAGAAAGAAAGAAAGAAAGAAAGAAAGAAAGAAAGAAAGAAAGAAAGAAAAAGGCGTGAAAACAAACGGCAATCACGACAGTATAAAACAAAAATATTGTCAGCCTAATCAATAAAAAACATAAGGATGAGATGTAAGTTATCGTTAAATTGATATATTGAAAGATGAACATAATAAAATAAGATATTCAAAAAAGACAAGCATTCCGATTATAAACATTAATGAGTGATACTTTTCTTTGATCATTCTATGTATGAGTGTGTGTGTGTGTGTGTGTTTGTGTGTGTGGTTACGACATATGACATATTATCTAAGAGGTATTATCCTGCTAGGCAATAATTTGTACTATATAATAAAGGTCGCGTCAACTGTTGCCTAGGTTAATGTCCTTGGTTCGTTAGATAATAACACTGTACAAGTAAATAACCCATAAACCAGTCCTACATAATACGGACTCGCAAAATGACTTTTCAACAAGAAGTGTAAAAAGGAGCAAAGGTAACCGTTGCCATGACGATCGTTTCTGTCAAGTACCTAGAGATGAAAGAGATTAAATATGTACTAATTAAGCAAATTGTGCCTGACATGGATTCTGCGCTTGTAAAATTTCTGGATACAGGTTTGGGCCTAATTCAATTTGGGCAGTCAATTTTCAGACACCATTAATTCTCCGTTGGGTTTTTTCAGTGAATCATAGATGTGCAAGTAAATGGAAGGGTGGCAGGTTGAGTGGTATGAATACTTTTAATGTCTATATTACGATACCTAGCAAGTCACGAGTGTCTGTTTCCATCCAGTTAATCCATGCAGTGAAGATGAACTAAGACTTTAAATACACACAAACACATTATATATATATATATATATATATATATATATATATATATATATATATATATATATATATATATATACACACACACACACACGGCAGACCTAACTATATCACGAAGTTTACAGGCATTCTTGTTTCTGCACTTCAAACCCGAATTCTTTCTTTCACACCCATATCAGAAAAAAGCGATATATCAGGATATATATATATATATATATATATATATATATATATATATATATATATATATATATATATATATATATATATATATATATTAAAACAATATCTCCGTTTTATCTGCAATTATTGGACGTTTTAATGTCGCCCGATACCCAACGCCTATAACCCACATTAGATCTGGTCAACCAATACGATTTAGTTCCTTCCATATTTTTTTCGGTCGGAATTGCAAGCAAAGGACCGTACATGGTCTGACTGCACCTGGCAATGTGCATAATTTAGCTTTCCATGCAACTTCGTGCAGTAAAACTAATACTAGTGCCAATTCCAACTGTTTATCAAGGACATAGAGAGAGAGATAAAATATGTCATATAACACTACGAGCTGTTAACCGTTACCTGCATTAGTAATACTGCACCGATTTAATTTTATATCTGTCTGTATTGTCAGTGTGTTACATTAGGAATACATTAACAGTTACCTCGTTACCTTTATTTTTGTCAGGACCAGCGCCGTATATATATATATATATATATATATATATATATATATATATATATATATATATATATATATATGCGTGTTTGCCCTCTTTTCATGTACAGATACGGAGAGCAATCCTATTCTAATTTCTATATCAACCCATCTGTAACTCCTATTCTGTGTAGGTACATAACTTGTACATAGTACATTTAGATATATAAACGCACATAACAACTCATAGCTTTTAATGTTTGCACACACTTACATTGGGTATACTCTCAAAATAATAAAACCTTTTTTTTTAAAAAAAAAGCATTACAAGTGACTACTCACCCTGTCGCCGATCACTCAACACAAACTCATCCTTTGTAATTCCCAAATGACAGAAACACAGAAGCAAAATCCATGATTTATGCATTGATTTGAAGAAATGATTCAATTTTAATTCCGTCATCATAATAAATGTTATGGACACGACAATTAACTTCCAGATTTTCCAAATATTTCAATATTTAATTTTTACACTCTGTTTCTGTATTGTTCAAATCGATGCATTACTGTCACCAAAACAGTGTTACTTCACAGTAACTCGGAAGCAGAACATTTGACATCTCAGCATCCAAATCGACAATGAATGAAACTTCCGTATTTATCACACGTGCAGGCGCCATATTTATACCCCATGCTGACAATACCCACGAGCCCTGTATCCAGCCACAACCGTCACACACTTCTCAAAGAACAGTAACTATTTTGTTCAATGCGTCCTCCCCTCTGTTACACACCTTCGTCCGCATTGGTTGATACAACGCTGCGCCACGCTCTGAACTGATATTTAAATACGCTACACTATAACTCAACACTACGGTTCGGGCGATAAAGTAAACCTTTCAAACTCTCGAGTTGAGCTTAGATAGATAATGGGGACTGCTCGCGTTTAGAACTAATATCAGTCTTTAACATGCATAGCACATGCAGAGAGAGAGAGATAGAGAGAGAGAGAGAGAGAGAGAGAGAGAGAGAGAGAGAGAGAGAGATGTTATCTATAATCTTTATTATATATTCCAAGCATAGTCTACTTGAAATTGATACATGACAACAAAACAAATATAGGAACACTGAGGATTAAAATTATGAGTGGGTTAATTTCGTAAGCAAAGTTCTTCCGGGCATTGCTTTCTTACGGGCCAGTGGAAGTAGACTAACAAAATCAGAATTACCTTGTCTGTTAGATTACTTATCCGTCTGTGATATTTTGCTTTATTACAGGGCTCTCCGATAGAATTTATTATTCTATCTTCCTTACAAAACTCGAGTACTATCATCAACGTTAGGTTAAACATGTAATAGAATCTTGTTACATAGGTACATTGTAGCATTAAAGTCACATACCTCTCAACACTGTTTTTTGAATATATATATATATATATATATATATATATATATATATATATATATATATATATATATATGAGTGTGTGTGCATGTTTCTGAAATTTGTGTATCGTAAAGCATATATTTTATCTTTAATTACCCAGTCTAATATTGATATTATTTTAATATTACAACGATTTACTTAAGTTAGTTGCTTAAATTATCACACACACACACACACGCACACACACACACACACACACACACACACACACACAAGAGACCCCGAACTAAAGCATTCACTGTTACGTATCACTGCCACCTCACCTCTGCGTGTGTTCGAGTCGCAGGCTCGGCCAATGTGGTGCAGGTGAGAAAGCGTACAAGTAGCTCCCTTGTGTCGGTGGTTCTTTCCACGGTTTTCCATGGTTCTTCCTCCACCATTTAAACTGGTCACAGACCATATTTTATATTGTGCTTAAAAAATTGCGATAAGGTCGATAACGCACACACACACACACACACACACACACACACACACACACACACACGATGTCAGGCCTATTTCATACTTAACACAGGCGTGGAGTCGTATGCTTGTATCAAAGTTACGAAATGAGAGGCATAACGCAATGTGCTGATTCAATATGAAGCTCCAATTATCTTCACCGTACTACAATAAGGTTTTATTATTACTGCACTGTAGATACGTCTGTTTAACAGTATAACTAACTGTTCATTGTACGCCGGTAACGTATTTCAGCGACACGTTTACCGTACTGGTTTATTATAGCGCACTACAGGCAACGTTACGAACAGCAGAGCTTGGAAGAAAGCTCATTATCGCTGTCTCTGCTTTGAGCTTGGAAGAAAGCTCATTATCGCTGTCTCTGCTTTTTTCATATAGAAAAAAAACAAAAAAACAAACAATGATGCTACTGGTCATAGTCAAGTGGAATATCTTGAAGATTCAGATTTTGTACCTTAATTTCCGTAATAATGGATTCCTGAATGCACGCTTGTACAACTGATCACGATTTTACAAGCAGGCAATTCAATTTGTCAAAGATGTTCGAATGTTGGAAATCAGTTTGTACCTTGCAACCAATTTAATATTTTTTAATGAAAGAATATATGATTGAACACAATTCCAAAACTTGTTTGTTATAGAAGAAATAAACGTGTATTTATAGCTTAATGGTTGTTACTTTATTACAACCCATTGTACAATGAATGTTGTTCCAGCGTTGATCTCAGAATGCTTGCAATTATACACTTGTTACTTTGTCATTTACTTAAGAATTTAGAGGAAAAAAACAGTAGTAATAAGGAATTTAATGTTATATTTTCATTGTAGTTCCAGGACATTCTTAAAATATACCTCACGAAAGAGCATAAAGTGGATAATGCAAAAGAATACGGTGTATGCTTTTCCATTGCTGTGGTACTGTAAATTACACACATATACACACTTAGACGGCTATAGTTGATTAAAACACACACACACACACACACACACACACACACACACACCTGAGAAACGGGTCATTTGCTTATAGCGGTTTTCCTTAATACCTGGAGCAAAGAAATACGCTATTTCTGACCAGATCTATGTTTGCATGGTAAAGCGTGTGCTATCTAGTAACGACACACATAATCAAATAAGAAAATACGACTTCAAAGAGCAGTAGATCCATCCATCCATCCATCCACACACACACACACACACACACACACACACATACATACATACATACATACATACATACATACATACATACATACATACATACATACATACATACATACATACATACATACATACATACATACATACATACCTTCTTACATGCACAAATTTAACCTCTCCGGTGGCCTAGTGGTTAGTGCTTCCGCCGCAGATGCGGGACGCCGTGGGTTTGATACCCGTCGAATCATACCAAAGACTTACAAAAATGGTACTAACAGTTGCCTCACTTGGCGCTCAGCATTAAGAGGTTAGTGTTAGGACTGGTTGGTCTGGTGTCAGGATAATGTGACTGGGTGGGACATCGTGATATATGTCTGCGGCATGATGCATCAGTGCTAGACATCACTATAAACTGCCACACTGCAGAGATCGTAGCGATATGACTGAAAATTTTTAAAAAGCTACATTAATATTATAAACACCAACACCAACATACACAAAAACATACCTACCTTCCTACTTACACATATACATGCATGCATACATACATACATACATACATACATACATACATACATACATACATACATACATACATACATACATACATACATACATACATACATACATACATACATAGTGAAAATTCTCAAATTGCGCCGAGCATTATTATTTTTTTCTTCTTTTCTTTTCGTTAATGAATTTAACAACGTTACGGGCAAAAATTACAAGGAACAAGATCTTTACAGGGCGATATATGGGCTCTAAAATATTCGAGATAAAATGTGATAGGCCCTTGGTTGTATTAAATTTGTTGAATCATAATTCACGTTACTAGCAATTGTTGTCGTTTAATTCATTTTTATTTTTGTTATTTGTTATTATATGAATAATTTAATTTTGACTTGGTAGCTTAATCGGCAACAGTAAAATCCAAAGCTCTCATCCTATATGCATTTTCAGTTTCCATATAAGAAACCCACTGTCAGCTTAAATTCATGATGACTGTTTTTTTGTTTGTTTTAAGATTGTAAATTAGAACACGTTTAAAACTAGGTGATACGTTTTATGTAGCTTCATTAAATGCATTAACTTAAAAAAGAAAGAAAAAAATACTTATCGTTGCATGTCGTTGTAAGGGTGTTTTGCTATATCAGTTTTAGTTGTCTAAGGTGTCAATCGCAGACCGGTGCAGAATTACATTGTTATATGTGAATTTTGTGCACACGACAATGTGGATTAATGATGCCATGCATATTTAGAACTCTGCATGACCTCAACCAATGCTATATTTAGAAAGTTTGAAACGGTTGTATGTAGAACGATTTATGGTGCGATTAAATATCACTAGACCTACATCGAGGAAGTTCAGCAATAACTCAGATAACGAGTCACTAGGCATCTAAGATTAACCTCTATCTCAATGAATAGTGTACGGGGTTGGGTGAGGGGACTTGTGATAGTACCTACATCTTAGTTAAAATGATGAATATATGAACACTAGAACGTGATAAGTAGGTCACTATATCCTTGTTGTTGTCAATTTGGTCAGTTTTACAGCCAGTCATGAAGGAATCCGTTTTGTTTCGGAAGTTAAGGTAAAATTAAAACTTTTGGACATTACCTGTGATTATTATCTGAAAGAATGCTATCATTGCCACATTTTAGTTAAATATTAGAGAAACGGAAAACCATTAATCCTACTTTCTCCATTTGCATCCATTTGTTCCTGCTTCCTCCATTTGTATCGTTGCAAATGAGCAGAACTGTCGTTGCTGGTGCATTGTTATCGTTGCAGGTGCAGTATAATTAACTATTGCAAGTATGTCATATGCGTTATCTAGATGGGAAAAACTGCTTCATTGTTAGTTCATCTGAAACGATATATTATTTCTATATTATTGAATTCCCTTCAAATTTCAGGACTACCTATGCTTCACTGTGTGTTTTTAGTCTTCTAAATTTCATATTCAATTAAATTGTTTGGGATCATTTATTGTTGCTAAATTGTGCTGGTAATTGCGCCGTACATTCTTTCGAGTTCAGCGTGACACGTAACCGGGGGGAGGGGCTATGTTCGCAATAAACGGGTTGCTTGCGATGGTTAACCTTTCTTTTAAAACGAAATTCGACGTTTCAAGTAATTTCCCATAGTCATCGTGACACGTAACAATTTAGATTGATGTATGGGTTAGGCTCGCAATAATTTTCATCATGCGATAATTAACCTCTCTTGTTTGGAGGCATAAGTGAATTTTAATTAGAATCATGTTAACTTAAAGTCATGTAACGGAAAATGACAAAGCTAAGAGCAACCAGAGCTAAAATTTGGGGGAAAATCTTGGGCCTTTTAAAACTGGTATCATTTAATGATGTTTGCCTCAAAAGTTATTAATAAAGCGGTATAGTGAGACTTATTCTGACATTGATGGGAGTGTTAATATTTTTGACAGTTGGAGAAAGTTAATCTTGAATGGCCAAGCTAAATGTTTCCCAGAAGAAATTCAAGGTTCAAGTAATCTCCTTCGCGAAGTTAGTCAGTTTTTTATGGTAGCCAGCTATTTGTTTATTCTGTTTCTAAGAGAAAGTGAATCTTTCAATGTCATTTTCAGTTTCATTTTGTTGATATCATTGATCAGATTGTTATAATTTTCGTGCTTGGGGCTCGTATTGTTCTATTTTTTATATCTGCTCAGAGTTCTCTTTTTATGGTTTACTACATCCGAGCAATAACACTCGGATAATGATAACTGATAATGATCATCTCCTCGATAATGATAACTGAAACGCCATAAGGAGTGGGAATGTCATATCATCTCACCTCTAACACTGACAGGAAGGACCGGTTTAATTGCATTTACGACAAAGTCGTAGTGTAATTGAATTGTTAACGAAATTTTGTGAATTACAAAACCAAAAGTAAATTATTTAAATTTTCATTTACCAAAATACAAATAAATACAAAGTATATTTAAATCTAAAGTTTAAATGAGACTAAGTTTAATTTAGCTGCGATGCTAGTTTAAATTTTCATTAAAATAGTAATATTACAGAGGTCATATTTGATCTCGAATAAGACAAAGGTTGGCAGAGCAAGGACGAATGGAAGATTCAATGTCCGAAGAATTTAGGTGATGATGTCGCTCATCGTTGCAATGAAAGGTCACATCTCGTAGGCAATGACGAATTGAATTAATTGTGTTACTGACAAGTAATAGTAAAAGCAAAGAAAATTAGTATTGCTTTTTTGGGGGTACATGTTAGTATATTTTTCCTTCTTTTGTAACCAAGAAATTGATTTTTTTTCATTTAGATTCTGTTGTTAAACTGATTAAATTTTATATTTGTTTATTGAAAGAGGATTCGTTGTGTTTATTTCTTCAATATACTTCTTCAGAGATCTGCATTCTTCTTTTTATCAATCCACACTGGGTAAATTACACCGCGGGAGGTCATTCCCTAGCAACGAACCGTAGTGGAAGAGTTTGATGTGGTTTGAACGCCACCAATTTATCACAATAAGGAATACAATTCTAAATACATAATTTCCACTAGTAAACGAACTATAAATTCAACAAGGCATCAATGTTTGTATAATGGAAAATATCATTTTACGGACTCTGATAAACGAACTCAACACAGGCATGCCATATGAAGAAATTAAATCTACGAACTTAACAAACAAAAGTCATGCAGATACATTGAAATAAATCCTAAAAATCATCATAGTGATATCAACGAATTACATAAGATTGTTGCAAATACTTTGTGTTCCCAAGCTCTTACTTCCAGAACGTGTCTATCAATTTGCCTAGACAATTCTTTTCCCTGGATGATTTTCTACGAGCGAATGTCTTCTAAATTAGCTCAGAGTCTTTGTACTTTCCTCCCGTAGGAAAAAGCGAAGACTAATTTCAAAATTTTCTATTTCCACAATCACAGCGTAACCAATCGGAATGAAATACACTTCCAGCCCAAACAATGTCGAAACAATGTAGTTCGTATGGCAAACCTCGATATCTAACTGATTTCTGGTAACTTTCAGACAAGAGTTTTCTATACCGATCAGAATTTGACCCCTTCCCGGTCAGTTTAAACAACAAACTTATTATTTGATTATATATCGATATACTTAATTATATATCGATAACTCCTGACTTTGGCTGAATCAATCCGTACATTATGGCTCTGTAAATGCGGCCGTTCCCCATAAATCTCGTTAATGGTACATGTGTATAACTAATGTGTTGTACAGACATTTGCACAAAAAAACATAGATCGAACGAAAAAGTTGGTCCTTGACACACATTGATCAATAGTGATGTATTAAAATAATGATAAAAATATTAATAATCCTCGTTTACTAAATTAATTTAATGTGGTAAACATTTTAATCACAACCCTTTCTTATTTCTGTTGCCTCTTCCCATTTAATGCATAACGGACAAACTACTCAGATATATGGAGTGAGAGAGAAATGGAATTTGAGCTGGATTAAAACCTTGAAATATAGATTACACCAAGTAACATGGAAGAATATGATTCGTCGTAACGACACGTGTCCACTTTCCTTGGGATTTATCTATAGTGGTTATCAGGATACAAAGTTGGAAACCAAGTTGACAGTATACAGTAAATTCCTTGGTTATGTGACACAGATTACACCTAATGTGATATATTCAATGTTTCACTTTGTTTTTATTAAACATAGTTTAATGTTATTAAATATGAAACTGTCCAAAGGCCTCTTCGCCGGACCATCGCAGCGAAACTTAAATCTATGAAATGAAGAACGTAGAGGATTTTAGTTTGTGTAATACTACAATATCTCTGTACTTATGAATGATGGTAAAAGTTAAGTCAAACCAACCAAAAGGATGAGAGAGAGAGAGAGAGAGAGAGAGAGAGAGAGAGAGAGAGAGAGAGAGAGAGAGAGAGAGAGAGAGAGAGAGAGAGAGAGAGAGAGATAGAGAGAGAGAGATAGATAGATAGATAGAGAGAGAGAGAGAGAGAGAGAGAGAGAGAGAGAGAGAGAGAGAGAGAGAGAGAGAGAGAGAGAGAGAGAGAGAGAGAGAGAGAGAGAGAGTGTGTGTGTGATGCTGAAAAACCTTTTATACCTCCCGCGGAATTCTGCATATGAAAATTAAAATAATATGGCGAATAAGAGCCATTTCACGCGCACTGGATCCAGCAAGGGATAACGTATATACATATAGAATTATCTGAACAGATTCTTTTTCAAACCGA